ATCAGTCATCCTGACCTCGAACCTGATCGCGCGCATTCGACATCGACCGCCCACCCACTTAGCCGTCAATGACCTCGACACCCACATTCTGACAGAGGTCGCATGGAGGAGGTGTTGCTTGGTGAGCTGCCATAGGTCCGTGTTGGCCCAAGGTTGCAGCAGCAGCAGCAGCAGCAGCAGCAGCAGCAACAACAGCGACAGCAGCCACCAAACAATTCTCACTCCCGTCAGCCCAGTCAAGCACGCGTGCAGCAGCACTGACATTGACTGAGCTGAGGCTGGATGTGGTGAATTGGACGAGCACTACCAGGGCAACCCGAGACAATTGGCGTTGCTATCAATCAGACAGTCTGAACGGCCCGAGACTGAGATTGAGCTTTGAACTGGAAACGCGTCTTTCGAGGCTGTCTGGCTGACTTTTTGGGCGGCTTGTTTGGCTGGTGGACGTCTACCTGGCCTGGTCGTCGCAACCCAACCTGCGCGACCAACTTCCAGCCTCCGAGCAGGTCGCATCCAATTGGATTGCATCGAGGAGGAACGCCTCGCAGAGAGGAAGAGCAGCAACCTGAAAGTGGGAGAAGGTTCAAGGTACCTCAGCTCCTGGTTACCTCCTGCCTCCTTCTCACTCCCAGATTGTGTCCCTTCCTTTGGAGTGTCCTACGTGATGCTCTCCACACCTTCCTCGCCTTGGAGTTGAGACTGAATTTCAAAGGAAGGTGCAACTGGGCAAGAAAGGCAATAACCAACCACCACTGGTCACTGCCCAATTGACCGCTTCTTCCTTCACATGAGATTATTCTTTTTCTCACGCCTCATCCTCATCAACAAAATAACCTGCACGAGGGGGGAAAGAATCCAAGTTGACAAGATCTTTTTTCTTGTCGTCTTTCTTTTTTCCCCCACGCACAATCAGCAGGCCTCCCAACTGGGACAACCTCTTCTCTGTCACACACGCACCTCACTCTTATCCTTACTCCAACATACTGCTGTCTTTTTCCTCTTACTCAAACCACCAAAAATCTCACATCTTCAACTTCGCCATCTTCGCCATTTCTCAAAACCTTCACTGCACGCAGCAGCAGTTTCAACAGAATTCAGTTCAGAAGAGACCGCTCTGCTCAATTCGACCAGTGGTAGCAGTGAGGTGGCTCCAGCTTCACTGTTATCCGTCAGATTGCGCTCCTTCCAATCTATCCGTCCAATTCCGCCCACGCTGCCAAAGCGCATCGTCGCCTAGCCACCCTCTTTTTTTCGAACCACGCTCCAACCTCCAGCCTCTCGAATTTCTTCACCTCAGACCTCCGGCTAGCACCCTTCTCTTCTTTTTTGGACTCCATTTCTCTGGACCCTCACTTCTCCGCCTTCAATTCGTCTCTGCTGAGCAGCTGTAGCATCTTTGCTCATACAGACCGCCTTCGACAATAGTTTTGGGTGTGGTATCAGAACCCCATCATCAAGATACCACCCTACCGAGTAAGTAGTACCCTGTTCCCTCCAACCTCACCCATTTTTTTCCCGGTTTCCATGTAACCCGACTTTCGCACAATCCACACCACCTCGATGTTCCTACCTTTCGGTACTTGCTGACTCTTACTGGATCAGCATTCCCCCAGATCCTCCTCAACACCACCCACACTACCTCATACCTCAAGTCCGAATCACCACCAACGTGGTGATAATTTCAACTTGTCTATCCCAACAGGTCAGATCAGTGACCTGGACAACATCGTCAAGTTGACAGACCAAACTTCCCCCACGCCTTCTAACGACCGTCACGAAATTCACGAAATCACGATCCCTTCTGCGCAGCGCCAGCAGCAGCGGAGGCAAGCGCGAAACATTACCCCAGATCCAGTCGCTGAGAGACCGACCACTCCAGCTTCGTCCCAACTCTCCCACCGCACCCTTCGACGTACCTCGCGATCCGTTGCGACCCCAAGTCCTACACCGCAGTCTGCACGCCAGGTCCACATTGAAGCCGCATCAGTAGGTTTCAGTCCCAAGCCTCAAATTGTGACCGCGCCTGCGCCCACGCCAGCACTTGCGCCTGCCCCGACTTTCAATTACGATTACCCTCGAACCGTCGCTCCCCACGACCGACGAAATTCCCGTGCACGAAGAGTTCTCTCACAGGATCTGAGCGAGGACTTTGACGAAGAGTCCTCCGACGAAGCTCTGTTATTCCGAGACCCGACATCATCGTCTTCTCACACCCGACGCGAGTCTCACCGACCTCATCGCGTTTCCAGAAATACTCGCAGTGCCATCCTCTTTGCTCTTGAGGAAGCGCTTCGGCAACCCAACTTGTTCACGCCCGACGAAATCGAAGAAGGCGCATCAATGGCTGACCTGATCGGAGGTGGCACTGCCGCTTCCAACGGTAATGCCTCGGCTTCCACCCGCCAGCGCACCACTGGCGCTCCTAACCCTACCAGCTCGCCCTCTGGAATTCGTGGTCCTAGAATGATCATGCAGGAGCGCGCTGCTAGAGAGGCAGCCCGTCAGAGAGCCGAACAGGAACAGATGCAGTTGGAGAGACAGCGAGCCGAGCAGGAAGCTCGCCTATTGGAGGAGACGCAGAGACGGAATGCGGAGCGCCGAGCTGCCACCGCCGCTACTGGCGCTGCCGGAGGAGGAACAGCTGGTGGCGCCGCCAACGTGCCCCAGCAGGACCCCACCTCTCACCGGCGACCCGTAGCCACCGATACCCCACAAACCCGAACCAACCCGGGAGGAAGTTCCCGCCAACCTACGACGACTCAGCCGCAGACTCGACACGGCCGAACGGCGTCAACCTCTCAACCCGGCCAGCAACCCTACAGCACAGCCCCTCAGGCCAGCACCACTCAACAGCCTGCCAACACCTCTGTTCAAGGAGCCCAGGAGTCCGGCGCTGCGGGATCGAGACCTAGAAACTCATTCCCCCACGCGTTTGAGCGTTGGGAAACCTTATCAGCTCACTGGGAGGGTCTCACCAGCTTCTGGATTCGACGACTTGAACAGAACAACCAGGACATTGAGCGTGATCCTGTTAACCAGGCGCTCTCTCGCCAGGTCACCGACCTTACTGCAGCCGGTGCCAACCTTTTCCACGCCGTTGTCGAGTTGCAGCGCCTCCGCGCTAGTTCCGAGCGCAAGTTCCAGCGATGGTTTTTCGAGACCCGGGCTGAGCTGGAGCGTGCTCAGGAGGTCAACGCCATGTTAGAGTCGGCCCTTGACGAGGAGAGACGTGCTAGAGAGAACGCTGTTCAGGCAGCCATCCAGAAGGAGCGCCAGCACTCCGCCAACGATGAACGCGTTAGAGAGATGAAGAAGGAGCTCCAGATCTCCAAGGAAGAGGCTCGCCGCGCTTGGGAGGAGCTTGGTCGCCGTGAGCATGAAGAGCGTGAGCGGACCCAGTCTCTGCAGAGCGGTCAGCCTACCATCCTCGGCGGCGTCCAGGTCGTCCCGATGACGCAGGGTGTTCCTAGTCGCCACGGCAGCTCTCGTGAGCAATATGGTGGCCAGCAAGCCGGCTACGCTGGCGATTATTCCCAAGCCCCTGGTGGTCAATCCATCCCCGCTACCTCTGGCAACCCCTATGCATCCGGCGACGCTGGTCAGGAAGGCGTCACCTACACGGGTGCTGGTTCCGAGGGTGGATACTCTGAAGGTGAGTACGCTATCGATGCGCAAGGCCACTTCATTCGCGATTCTCAGGGACACAAAGTTCCCTTCATAGCTCCACCTTCCCCAGTTTCTGACGAAGGTATAGAAGAGTATGAAACCCCCGCGACGAACCCTCCCAGTGCCGGCTACCTGCAGACCCCCACTACGTCTGCTGGAGAACAACCGCAGCAGGGAGCCACTCAAGACTATTCCGGCTCGGGCTATGCGGCTCCAGGCTGGGAGACTGTCCCTAGACATCATCACCCGACTCGCCTGAGCGATGTCATGGAAGAGGATGAGCGCAGCCGCGCCAGCAACAGTCAAGTTGGCCGACACTAGTACTCCCCGGTCCGAAAGCACTAAGTTCTTGAATCATCGACCTTCGCAGTGCTTACACGACTCACATTGCCCCTGAAGAAAATAAGGGCGCCGGAGCTCGTTTTGCACTACACGTTTTACATCGATGGCACGGCATCACCCTGTTCCCTCGCGCATCTCCGCGGCAACAGCTACACGCTTGCAAGACTGTCACGTCTTGCGAGCACACATTACATCCATGCCAATGATGGCACTAAACAAGTTTACCTAATTCTTCTACACGAACACACGACTTCGAGGCGGCTTCGACGAGTCACGCGTCATGGGAGCACCATTGATCAGGGTAGACTTCACGGACGTTTCAACATGGCCTGATATTCGTCCCTCATCGTTGGTACGGAACTAGAAGAATGCACCTGTGGCAAATACGGACTGTCCACCTAGACCTTGTTGGAGTTTCTCAAGCGCGACTTGACGACTAATTTTTCTGTTTGGCATCACACCTTTTTTGGCGACCTTTGCGATAAAAAAAAAAGAAACGATTCTGAGAGATGGTTTGACACGGCGACGGACGGGCGGGCATGAAATGGTCAGCATGGCATGGCATGGCATACTTTTTTTCTTCGTTTTGGCGGCAATCAATCATGACTTTCCTTCCGACTTCGATCCGAAAACTTCCTCGAGTGATTGAATTGGCCCATTTGTCCGGCACCAGAGACGCAGGCTCTCAACAGAGCCAGCCTCAGACCAGAATATTCGCATTCAGCCAGCCTCGGCGGCAACTCCATACGTGGGCTTCAGACTTGAGAGGAGGGAGAAGGGATGCTCGAGGAAGGAGGCATGAGCAAAGAAGAACAAAACACTTGGCGTATGGGCAAAGGAAAGGGGAGGAGGAGCCCTGTATTTGTAGTAGACAAGATTTTTGTAGGAGATAATGCATTGCATCGAGTACGTGGGGCATGTACTATGCGCATACTAGCTAGCATCATTGCCTGGAATGCGAGCCTTGTGATGTAAATGGCTGGGCCTCCGTGGCCGGCTTGTTGCAGAGTGAATGCATTTACTGCGTGTTGGTTGGTGGCGGGCGTGGTCCGGCGGCTCCAGCCTGCTTGCTTACCAAGTTGGTGACACAATAGTTTGCCGCTCGATTTCCTACCTCTATTTCTCCCATTCCTATTCCTACTACTCTTACTACAATTATTGTCATTTTTGTAATCTTTACTTTCTATGTCTACCTTATCTGTTCCTTTACAATACTCTTCAAAAAGCTTAAAACCTAGTAATCATGATACAAGAGGTGTTCATTAAGCGTCGGCTTGACCAGCATTCTGGTTTGTCACCCACCTGCCAACTTAGTACACTGCCGTGCCTGTGTGCCTGTCCATCGGGCACGCCGCATTCCTGAGATCAGGCTGGAGGGGGGGGGGTTGTCTCATCACCAGGTAAGACACTTATTTACGCGATCAAACTCTGAGCTCCCTTGAGAATGTTCGAGCTCGACTTGTTATATGAGAGCCATCTTGATGCCGGGAACCTTCTTCTTGAGAACATCGGATAACCGAAGTGCCGGGTCCCTAGCCTGGAGTTTCGCCAACATTCTCTTCGTCTTTTTGCTCTTCATGTAGTAGCCGATACTTCTGCCTTGGTGCGCTTCTTGAGGTGCATTAGTACGAGAATATAGTAGGGAAACGAAGCAGAGATGGAAGCTCCCTCTTAGTGGTGGGCAGCTATCAAGCTGACTGCTGATGTCGAGGATCTACCCGCTCGCGCCTCGTGCTTAACGGCCGCACTTTTTCTTCTGCCAGGTGAAGGAGGCTCTCGAAAATTTCATGATATTTGCAGATTGATTGCTGTCTGTTTTGAAGGCTTCCAATTTGGCGCTATATATCCGTATAACGGACACTGCTGCTAGCTTGTCGGTGTCCCGTCTTACTATCGCTGCTGAGCTGGGCTGAGCTGGGCTGAGCTGGCTGCCTCGTGGTTCGCCTGACAAGACATGAATGCGAGGGCTACGCCATTTTGGCCGGCCAAAACTTGCAGACGTAGCCTCGAAAACAGTCAGAGTTCATTGGTCTGCCGCTTTTGCGTAGGATGAGAATTGCGAAGTTGCGATATTCTGCGAGTTTCATATAAGCCGCCCCCCCCGCGTCTTTGCACCCTTCCTGAATTCCGAAAGAAATTGGGTCTTTCTTCGAGCATGTACTGTCCTCAAAACAGGATCATTTTGTTGTAGATTTCCCCGAATTTTGAAGTTATCACCAATTAGCATGGGAGATGCATGTTGGGATGCCCCGCCCGACCGGGACTTCGATCCTACTGATGCCCTGACGCACCGGTTTTCGGTCCTGGGCTTCCACGAACAGGCTCCGGCGCCGATCGAGAGGTCGACTAGATATCACGGTGGCTGGTATGATGGCGGGTTCCGTAGAGCTCGTCTGCCGACGCCGCCTCCACCACAACAGGTTGCGCCCCGGCCAACCAGGGTGGATTCAGTCCCGGCTCCGGCTCCAGAGTCAAACAGATGTCAGGCAGGAAACCCGTATTCGGCGTCCTGCCCTCCTTGGTCTGTGCAACAGCAACCTCCAACCTTGGGGTCATCTCAAGACCGCAAAGATGTTGGTGTTCAAAATGGAACCGGTAGTCCCTCTCTACCCGACCCCTTTGAATTGCCACCGAATTGGCCCCATCATCCGTCTGACGATGATGACTTTCCCGGGCGGACTCCAAACAACGATTTCAACCGCCCATCTACGTTTCACACTCTTCGGGAGTCTTGCGGAGAGTCTGAGTTTCCTCCACTTTATCATCAGGATCGGGGTCTGGCATTCCGATTGTCTTTCGATCCGCCGCCCGAGCCCTCACACGCGCTGCTGATGGCCTGTCCGTATCTCAAGTACGATCCGTCAAAGTATGGCCAGAAAAGGGGCTGTCGGGGGGCGGCGTTTCCTACCACACACCGGTTGAAGTGAGTCCTCACCCACCCGTCTTCTGGAGTTGTCTTGAAAACCCTGCGAGCCCACAGTGTCCAGAATTGTGATGACTGAACCGGACGTGGACGTAGAGAGCATTTACACAGGACACACAGACAGAAGCCGAATTGCCCGCGCTGTCGCAGTCTCTTCAAAACTGAGGCTGAGGTAGGGAATCATCTTAAGGCGCAGGCGTTGTGCAAAGTTATTCAGGGCGATGGTGATGTCGAGGGATTTGATGCTGCCCAGGAGAAGCTTCTCAAAAGTAAGAAGCGCAGAAAGGGAGTTGACACGGAACAAGACAAGTGGAAAGAGATCTTCAAGATTCTCTTTCCCAGTCATCAAGATATACCAGATCCTTGTGAGTACTTTGAGTACGAGTGCGATTGTGAGAACTAACTGACACTGAGCATAGTCTACAAAACGTCTCTCGATGACCAAAATGCCGCAAGCCAGGTGCCAAGACAGGATCAAGACGATGTCGAAAGCATTTTCACCAGAGACATACCTTCTTCAGTAGAGGAGGAGACCTTTTCTAAGATGGAGGAAGCTGTGGGGGAACGCTTGACTAAGAAGAAGCGAAGGAACCTCATGAACGTGTTCAGGGGGTTCGCCGTTAACATGCTCCGCCATTCTACGGAAGGAGACACCAAGGACAGGGCCATCACACCCATGTCAAAGTCTAGTCAGGTTGAGAGGCCACGGTCCGCTGGAGCTTCGAGGGAGAAGCTTCAGTGCGTGAAGGCTGATGGCAAACCGGACGAGAAGTTGGAAAGCAAGAGAGATGATGCGTACGTGGCTCAGGAAGCAACGCAAATCTCCATGTCTGGGCCGCTGATAGACCCGGTCATGACTCTGGGTTCCTTGCCGTCGGTGGAAGAAACGGTGCAACGCAGCATTCCATTGGACTCACAAAGCTTTGATCTCGGCATGGACCCGACTGGAGTTTGCTGGCAGGCCTGGGCTGCCAATGGCAACGGAGATGCGTGGTTGGAAGACTTGCTGGGTATTGGGACAGCTTTACCTGGAGTTCTCAGTCAGGGACAAGACAAGGTATTTAGGATTGAGCCTATGAATATTTATGACGGAGTCGATACTATTCCAATGCGGGCACAATACGTCGTAGGCGAGGACGCTACATATTAGCAAAGATGCCTAATACTCAAATGAACGATGCCGAGGAAGATATTTATGCCCCCATGACTTGCTTCCTAGACATTTGTCGGATGATTATTAGTCGGAGGCTGCGCCTAGTTGGAGTATTTGTTCATCTTGAGAAAATGCGTGAATGTCTGGGTATTATATGACTTCCATGGACCGGTGGCAGTGGCATGACGCACAGGTACATATTGAGCACATGCATGACTGACGTTGCTTGCTGCATCTCATCCAACCACCAAACGGCATCCCCTAGCCTTGGGCACCGCAACAACCAACTATTAGGCAGCAGTGACTGGGCATGACTTGTGCAGCAAAGGAGATTTGCGAAATTTCGCAGAACAACTTCTTGACGCCTTACGTCCCAAATAAGAGCCTGTACTCCCTGATTTCTGTTAATTCATGATTACCTTTCAGTTTCACCAGGCTGCCTCATCTCTCTAGAGGCTCTCGTACGTTATTTATCCGTAAATACACTTCAGGCAACATGTCTAGTTCAACCCGGAGGGTTTCTGATTATATCCGCGCCGGTGGATCAGTTGATGAGGAAGAATCGACATGGGTCGCACCCCGCCTGATTCCAATGCCAGGTGATGAGGGCTATGATTTCGATAGATCGATGCCATCTATTCGCGGCCGGCCTCGGGCAAGAGGTAAAAAATACCAGGGGAGGCACTCGATGGGCATAGGAGGTCGTTGGACTCGAGATTGTGATGAGGGCTATGATCTCGATAGATCGATGCCATCTATCCGCGGCCGGCCTCGGGCAAGAGGTAAAAAATACCAGGGGAGGCACTCGATGGGCATAGGAGGTCGTTGGACTCGAGATTTTGATGGAGAAGGAGGAGGAGGGTCGGCAGGAGGAGCAACAAGAAGAAGAAGAGAATTCGAAACTCCGGTCGCGCCTGAACCGGTAGTATCAACATCCCCAACGATAAACCGCAGCAATCGGCAACATGAATTCGAGTTCCATGACGCAGTCACACTATCACAACAGCTTAGCCAGTTAACACTTGGCGCGTCAAACGGATCAAGTACCTCCACAGCGATCCCAGGACAGCCCGGGAGCAACGCTTCAGGCAAAGCGAAGTCTGGCTTTCCTTCCAACGACTATGTTACCAAGTTCGTGCCTGTTCCTCGTGGTAGAGGGCCGAAAAATACGGCTTCATTTGACCTAAAGAAAGCACCGAAGGACGGCAAGAGTTCTGCTATTCCGTGTAAAACACTTGCTATGGCGATACGCGGCGAAATCACTGAGAGAAGAGCAGTTCCTACGCAGGACGATTCATTTCAGCCCGCTGAATCGCGTGGGCTTTCAACAGATAACATGAATAAGATCAAGCCTCGTGAGTCGTCTGCTACGACTGGCGAGAAACAGGCCCGCACGAAGAAGGATCTTCCCCAGACACCAAAGACATCTAATGATACTGGCTTCTCTGGGCCACCGTGCTCCGACCCGACCAGGCTTCCAGCAGCATCGCAATCTAAGGGAGTCAAGCTAGCTTGCCCATACCTCAAGTTCAATCCGGCAGTGTACGGAGAAACTCTGTCGTGTACTCGCCACTTTCCCTCCACTCACAGACTGAAGTAAGTTTCTCTTTGCAATTGGCAGCTCGCCGAGACTAATGATCGGTGGTTTTGCCTCTAGAGAGCATCTATACAGACATCACGAGCAAAAAGCCCACTGCCTACGTTGCGGCAAAGTCTTCGACAATCAAGCTGACTCGGCAAAGCATGCTCAGCTAGATGAACCATGCAATCTTGTCAAAGATTTCTTCATCGAAGGCTTCAACAAAGACCAGCTGAAGAAATTGAAAAGCAGAAAGCGGGCAAGAGGAGATAGATCGGAGGAAGAGAATTGGAGGAAAATTTACCGCATACTATTCCCGGACTGTACTGTCATTCCAGACCCTTGTACGTTTTCACCGGTTCACGCATCGATATCTTTGGGGGTTGATGAGAAGAATTACTGACATTTCCTACAGTCTACAGGATACAGTACGATGACGGCATTGTGCAACACAGTCATCTCCAGAAGATATTCACCCACGATAATGACTCTGGCATAAATGAACGGTTCTTCTCAAAACTAGAAGAAATTGCTGGAGCCTCCTTCGACAGCGCCAAAAGGCGTGCAATGCTAGGGTTCTTCGAGACATTTGCTCAAGAGAAGCTTGCTGAGACGAAAGAAGACCACGGCCCACAGCATCCAGGAGACGACTGTACTGTATCAAGAAAAGCCCTGCGCTCATCGATCATGGATAAAACTTCCGGCGCGGATTGCGTTGAGGATCTGACTTCGTCAACTCCCCGAGACGCATCTGTCGTGTCACTGGTACCAGAGACCGGCACAGAGAGAGTTGATGACCCCCAAGGCAGTGCTTCACGTCTTGCTACGTTCGATCCAATTCACGAATACGACTTCACTCAGGCGTTATTGGACGATCAGATCCGGTTATCGACACCATGGCAAGAGGTCAATTTGAGCTGGATCGAGGGAGGATTTGATCAATTATACAGTAATCCACCCAACGGATATCCGGACATGGCCACTGTGCAACCATGCAACAATTACACCCTGAATGGAGAGAGCAGCGTCTGTAACGTTGCTGGAAAGCATACGGCATCAAACTCCGCGCGAAGAGGACGTCAGCATGAACGATGATGATACAGAGACAGACATTAATAGAATGTGTGCCAGAGACAGATGAGAGAAGATTGATTATCCCAGGCATCGGCAAGTCAGTGGAAAGTTGGGCTACAATGTCATCCTGAGAAAAGATGAGGCAAGTACCTCGTCAAACCCCCACCACACCTGGGTTCGCCCCTTCCACGTCCTCTATAGATGACTTCTGTATTTAGTCCTGAGAAAGAACAAAGATGATTTCATAGATAATACACGGTTAAGAAAAGAAAATGGAAACATTTCGTGACCTGACAGCGTACACCATTGTTGGAGATGGAAAGGGGGGCTTGACAAGTTCAAAGTAGGTAGTGGTTTGAACTCAGGGATGCTGAAAATCATAGGCAATGTATTACCAATGCCCGCGTCTCAATTTCAGCCATAAAAACACAACAGTCCCGAAAAGCACCAGCAACAGCCCGGGTGTTGTGTACAGAGAACCTTGATTCAGTGGGCTCTCGACCATACTAGGTCTGTAAATGACCTTCTCCGTCAGGCGGTGAGCTGCTTGAGGGTCGTGAGCAGGGAGCAGCACAACGTTTTCGCTTCTAGCGAACTCTTTGATTTTCCTGAGAGAATCAACTGCCAGCGCCGGGTTGCTGTTGACACCATCCGTAAGCTCCTGGTCGAGTAGTTCCTGATCATATGTAGCATCCCCAAGTAGGAGATACGAAACATCATCAGCACGAACAATGACCGAAAGATATCCTGGCACATGGCCTGGTGTGTCGACAGCCACGACCTTTCCATCTCCAGTGATGGGATAGCTCTGGTTCCATGGACCAATGGGGCCACCGGTTGGTTGAAGAATGAAAGGTTTGAAAGATGCTGACCATTGGTTTGGAACGGCTCCTTCCATTGTAGCATGAAATGGCGTCTTGTACGCCTGCCAATGTTCTTCAGTGATCCAGACCGGTGCTCCGACGAGGTCGGGCAGCCCGTCACCATGATCATGATGAAGGTGGGATTAAACAACTGCCTTGAGGTCACCCGGTGTAAGGTTGTCTTGCTCAAGTCGGGAGCCAATGCCCTCATCTTTTCCTACATCGATATCGACAGCAAGATGGAAGAAGGGCATCCAGAGTGGGAAATAACCGGGCTCCATACTGTGTGGCGACTCGCCGGAGTCGAACAGAATGGGCCCCTCAGGATGATCGATCAAGTATGTGTTGATAGGCAACGGATCTGTCCAGGATGTGTCCAGCAAGACTGACAGGCGACGCAGGAGTACAGCTTTATTGGCAGGCTGATGACGGTGGGAGGGGCGGATTCGTATTGACCCTGTCTGGAGAATCTTGATGCTGATGGCCATTTTGAACTTACAATGAAAAGGTATGAATAAATGTAGACGAGTTCATAGGACTTGATTCATACGGAAAAGAGATAGAATGGTGTTGATGTGGATGGATAGTATTTCTTTGAGTCCGCGAGATATTGACTTTGGGCGTCTGAATGCAGCCATGTACTTTGTACCCCTGGGCACGATGAAGACATTCATGCAGGTGGGATATGTGTCATGGACCAATGGCCTTAGACGCTCTGGCAGCACGGCGATTGACGAACGCCGTTTTCCGTGATCGGAGGTGCTAGCTACCGACGTTCGACTTCTGAAGATTTACACAGCATCATGTATATAGGCATCGCAGATGGATGTGCCAGTACGGGCCCAGTCTCATCCGAGGCCCGACTTTCGTCTTGTAAAAGCCTGCCCTTTTCAACCCCGTCGCAGTTGCTTGGCCAGGATCTCCCGGTCGCCGACGGAGACCCGCGACAGGGACGCTTCGATCAAGCAGTACGTGTGAAGAATGTCGCTTGGACAGCACGCCACTTATGCGAATCAGAAGGACTGAAAGGTGGAAGAAGTAATAGTTATTCGAATCGCGTAACGCGCACGGGGTTTAAGGGAGAACAAAGGCGCCTCCTGTTCCACAGGTAGTTCAAGGATAGCCCGAGTTTCCATCTAATCATTGCCGAATTTCGCAGAAAATCAAGGAATTAAACATAGTCCACAGACAGACGCGGAAGTAAAAGTAGTGACTTGTGTAATACCAGATGTTTGATTTTGTGGAGTCTCGGGTCTTGCTTGGTTTGGCTGATTCCTCTTGACTGGTTTCTTGTGACGCATTTGCAGCAAGCGGCAGGCGTTATCCAATACTCGAATGGCCCTTGATATCGGCCCCTGGGGGAGAGCTAGTTGACTACTACATAGGACGCAGCTCGATTGGCTATAACATGTTCCGCCGTCGCGAGTTCCAACACTGGTTTGCTATACGAAGCTTCCTGGGGCGCAAATCTGCTCCACCAGCCTCAACCAGAAGCCACCACCTGCTGGCTTTTCTGGTAACTCCGGATAACTGAAAACAAATTTAACCCCGAAATTAAACTACTGAAAACACAGAGAATGAAAAAAGGTCGTTGTGGAGTTGACTTGTGTCTCTCCCCATGTGGCGTCTCAGCCGTCACAGTTCCCAAGATCTCACGATACCTTCACATACGACCATACCCATTGGAAAATTCGGGATCCCGTCCGCTCTCCCATAGACAAGCCAATGAGGGCCGGATTAGTAGTTGGGTCGGTGACGACCAGCGAATACCTGGTGTTGTATGTTTTTGATGTTTTTGTGAAGCTATCGTGGTCCACTTGCGGGCGGTCTTGGTGGGGGACGCTACCGCTGGCCCCAGATGAAGTACACCATAGAAAAACGCCTGAGTAATAAGATGACTTGACCTTGGTCTTCTTGTTGAGTAACAAAGGGATATTTCTTTCTCAATATCATTGTAAACCGTTCCTCCGGTTCCAGTGGTACAGACATTGATTCTCCCCATGTCGTTGGTATACGTTAGCTTTTCCCCCAAGCAGCCGTCGAATGAATGACCTTACCTTGGGTATAATGGGCTAGAAAGCCGGAATAAAGAATTTAAGTCTCACATTTCACGTCGACGATTCGAACTGGATGTTCGGAAAGTTGGCTGTCGTGAGTTTTGGCTGATCGAGGATTCTGGCCCTCGAAGAGCTCGTCGATAGGAAGAGCATGTCAAAAGGTTAGATCAAGGGAAACATCAACCAACTATGCAATCAGCTGCTTAGCAAGCTTCTCGACATGGCCAATACTTATCTAGACAACACGCTCACCATGACTGAGTAAAACAGAATCAATCAAGATGTAAAAGTATACGGCTGAGGACCACTCCGGTACTAGCATTAGTAGAAGTGGTACAGGCAGACAAGTAGAGCGAGTAGACCGTCGAGACCGTCACCGCTGCTTCAAGGATGGGTATTTGCAGCTGTGAAGATTTTAAGACAACGTCAGGTGGTGGTTGGTTAGCCTAGTTGGGGGCAATATCAGCAGGACTCCTCGACTAAGGTACGATGACACTTTCAGACATAAGGTAAGGGCCTTGCGAGTACTGTTGGCAAGTCGCAGTCGTTGCTTCCCACAAGGTTCATCAAATTCATACGCTTGATGCTTGACCGATTGGCACGGTTTTCCAGCAGATGTTGGCAGGCAAGGATGTTACATATGGAGTTGCGAGTAGCTCATTTCGTGCAATGACTAACTCCCCAATTCGGATAGAGGCAGTCTGCAACCTGTCCAAAGGCGATGCCTATTCTGAAAGAAATAATGTTGAAATTCCCAAGACTTCATGTTTCAGTTGAATTAGAGCTTTTCGGATGACTCTGATCCCCAATAGCCTCCTTCTGCCCAGCAATCCCATCTCGATTCGCCCTCCACACGCCCTCTTCGCCATGGAACTCCTCCCGCTTCCACACCTCAACCTTTGCCTTACACTCCTCTAGAGCCTCCTCTCCAGCCCTCCATGCCGCCTGTCTATGCGGCGACGATACCGCGATCAAGATGCTCTCTTCGCCGATAGGAACCGTTCCCAGGCGGTGGATCATGGCGACGCCCTTTAAGCCGTGCTTCTCAAGGATGACCTTGGCGATGGACATCATTGTGCGGAGGGCAAGTGGTGTGTAGGCGCTGTACTGTAATTCTTTGACGGGCTTGTCGCCGAACGTGTCGCGTGTTGTGCCGGAGAAGAGGACGATGGCGCCGGCTTGTGGTGAGCGGACTCGGTTCATGATGGCTGAGGCGTCGAGGAGATCGTAGGTGAGGGCAACGTAGCAAGAGCCCTCGGAGACCTCCCACGGCCCTTTATCCTGGTCCTCCATGACTTTACACGATGGAATGCGCGAGCAATGGAGGCGGCAAGGATGTTTTTTGGTCTTTTGAGTCGTAGTTGATGACAGAAGTAGATGGTGGGGTTCAGACCGTGTAAGTATCCAAGATGACGACGAGCCTTTTGAAGTTGAAGAAGTATAGTCAACACGACTGAACTCTTAGTTGAATATTCAATGAAACGTCTTTCAAATTATCAACAAGCCTCTCTCAGATACCAACAGCATGCTCAACTCTTTTATGATATTGGGTTAAAATTACCTCACACATGGCAGTGCTGAGCGTGGGGAGGACGAGGTGTATGGGTACGTAGGTACAAGGTACAAGGATGAAGGAGCGCGGATCAGGGCCATATCAACCTTACCTTATCGACGACCCCGCTTGACTAAGCAATAGATAAGGCGTAAGTCCGTCAAAGGCAGCCGCAATTCGACCACAAATATGGCCAGGGTTGAGCTTCTGCCAGGCCCAGCGTGTGTGGACCATCCCTTCCTCATTCCCGCCTTCACGCATGCCCGCAGCCCATTGCAGAGGCCCGTCGCCCTTTGTCGTTCCACCAATACCAGGTTGAAGCATAAAGGCACGGTCTTGTCGTTCGCCTCACGAGGGACAGCACCGCGCCTTACTTACTCTTCCTTTTCCTCCTCTTCTACTTCTTTCCGGACCACATCAAACCCAACCAAGTTCACGCCCGAATCAGCGCGCATAAGAGACCGGACACACCCCTTCCTGCGATCCGCGACCATGTACGAGGACGACCATCGCGCGCGCGAGAGGGGACCGCACGAGCGACGAAGATCCCCTCTACGAGATCAACAACAGTATTCAGACAACGACGGCTTTCGAACGCGGCAGGGTAAAGAGACTAAGCTGAGCCTGCGGAGGACATGACCATCTGCAGTACATCTGGCTGGGTTGAGCTTCTGCTAACTTGCCCACGGGACGACGAGACTCTTCTAGGTCTCCCCCCAGGAATAACCTCGAGCTGTCATACGACGACGACAGTTACGCCTCTGAGGATACCCGTCGTCGCGAGCGCGACTGGGATCGGGACCGGAATTGGGATCGTGAGACTGCAGAATACCGCGCGAGAGACTACGACCGTTATTACCATGGACCGCCGCGTGAGGCCCACGAGTCACGTCCTAGATCGGGAGATCAAGGCGGTGGTCGGGATGACTATATGGATCGCCGTGATGAAGACGCTGCGCTACTTCACCCACATGACGGCGACGACCGCGGATCACGTCGTTACGATCGAGGTGGCCGGGGCTACTCTCGCCCTTACTACGACGATGGCACTCGCCGCGATGATGCCCGACGTGGTCCTGACGAGGATCTTCGTCATTTTTCCGCCTCTCCAGGTGGCAGCCCAGATCGCCATCCTCGTCGCGATCGTTCTACATCGCCTCTTCGACAAGCTGGTACTCCGAGTGATACTGTGATCCTGGAAGGCCTTCCCTCCGATTTGTCTCTCGAGACGCTGCGAGATTGTCTCTTTAAGCAGTCTGCTCTGTCACAATATCCATCTGTAGATGTTCGCATTCCCTCGGCTGGGCGAGGTAAGCCACCTGTCCCTCAACCCACTCACTCACCCACACTTTCTCACACGCATACCAGGCAAGCGTCGCGCTTTCGCGCAGTTCGAGCATGTTGAGCAAGCGGTCGAGTTTGTCAAAGGAAATTACCCTAAGCTTGTTATCAACTTCTTCAGCGGGGAGGTTGATGATGCCACGGACGGCATGACCCTCATTTATATCCACTACGCGAGGAACCGCGATGACGCCGAGCGAGAAAGTCGCGCTGGAACTGCCGCTAACTGGAGCTGTCCGACTTGCGACTTTTCAAACTATGCGACAAGGAGCCGCTGCAAAAACTGCGGTGGTCCACCCACAGGTATACACGCTCAGCAATCCTTGCAGAAGTTGAGACCCGTACTGACCCGACCAGATCCGTCCCAATACCGGTTCTTGTTGACTGGCGAGAGCGATGCATCGGATACACCTTCTCAAATTTTGGTTTTCTTCCCTTTGGCGCCCTCCGTTACCGAGGATGTGTTCTCGGCGGGAGCTGGAAAACTGGAGCTCGTGCAAAAGCAAGCATCAGCAAAGAACTCGGGCGACGGGCCAAA